GCGACCCATCCCCAGCGGCCCCTCCCATGCCTCTCTGGACCCCCCGTGGACTGAGCACCCTGGGCAACAGGGTGGCAGTTTTTGGAGACCCTCTGCCTGTCAGAGCTGCCAACTCCAGGCAGGGTGGACAGGGTGCCTCCTGCCCTCGGAGGCCGGGAACCCAGTCTAGGACTTTCAGCAAAATCCAAAGGTGCGTGTGCACGCGTCTGTGGGTGTGCGTGTGTGCATATGCACACGTGTGTGCACGCGTGTGCATACGTGCATGTGTGTGCGTGCACATGCACGCGTGTGCACGTCTGCGCATGCACATGCAGGTGTATACGCGTCTGTGTGCACGTGTGTCTGTGTGCATGCGTGCCTATGCGGGAGCACGTGTGCGTGTGTGAGCACGTGGTCTGGTTAGCAGCTGTATGTGGAGGAACAAGGCGAAGGTGTTTGAGGCGAGGGTGAATGCCAGAGCAGAAGAAGGAAAAGAGATTTCTGCAGAGACCCTGGATCTGAGGGGGAGATGGAGGCCTCAGGCCGGGGGCCACACGGTTGCAGCCCTGAGGTGTCTGTGTGACTCCCCGGCCACGCACGGCCTGGCCAGTGAGAAGCCAGGGTGCAAGGCCACCCACCCCAGGACGCGTGGCCCCCAGCCTGTGGGCCGGGGAAGGCTTCCCGGTAGTTGGAGAAGCTAGTTCTCGGCTCTTGTGTGTGTGTCCCAGCGCCTCAGAAAGCCCTCTGGGAGACTCCGTCCTGGCGATGGAGTCCACCACAGTGGACAGCCCGGGACCCATTGGGCTTCATGGCCAGCCCATACTCTGGACCAAAATTAGACCTCCAAACTTCTTCTCATGCTAAGGATGCTCAGTGGCTACCTCGGAAAAGAAAGCATTGCTTTTCTAAAATACATGTAGGTGGGCAAGCCTGGACACGTAGAGATGTAGCTTCCTCTGAACCCCAGGCCTTTCTCCAGGGGTGTGTGTTCTGGATCGTAACATACTCTTAAATTTACAGAAATTTCTCAGCATCCGAGAGCGCGGGGCTGGGTGGGAGCCTTCGCCTAGCCTGGTGACTCTGGGTGTCCTGGGAGCGTGTGGTCCGCAGGGGGCGGGGGGTCCTGGCCCTCAGCAAAGCCTTGCAGCAGGGCCCCGGGGGCTTGGGGGCCGTGAGATGGGACAGTGGCAGTCCCGGCAGCCTGAGGCCTTGGAGCTGCTCTCCCCTGTGACCCGACCCAGACACAGCTTGTTTGTTGATTGAACAAATGATCACGCATATTACTATTCAGAAACTAAAGCCAAGGGATGAGGTAATCCACTTGAGTGAATTCTGCAGATAAATGAAACCCCCTCAGTTCACGTTAACATTTTCCACCAGCTTCTCAAACAGAGGCAGACACATTCATTCAACAGCTGATGTTGGAGCGCCCGTTACAGGCCGGGCGAGGCGCTGGGTGCCGGAGAAGCTGCCCTCAGCGGGCTCTCTGGGGGAGACGCGCCCTCGAGGAGGAATCAAACCGAGCGTGGGCACTGTCAGGGTGAAACCTGCTCCTGCCGCCTCCCTCCGGGGCCCCGCACGATGCTGCCCACCCGCTGCAGGCCCGGAATCCGGGGCAGGTGGCACTTCCGAGGAGCCCACTCCCTCTGGGCTGTCCCTCACAGCCAGCTCTTAATTAGCAAAACAAGTAGCACGATGATAAATGTCATGATTTACTCAACAAATGATCAAAACCATTGTTTTTTCAGACCCCAGGGCAATCAAATGCAATCACGGGGTGATTTATTCTGGGCGGAGTGAGTGGTGGCTGCGTCAGCCGGCGGGCTGCGTCTGGGCAGGGGGGGCCGGGAGTTTGGGTATCTTCCCAGACAGGGGGACAGACCGCCACCCTCTGAGATGGATCCTGGGGGGCCGTGTCCACGCAGCCCACCCTCCCGTCTTGCCACCAGGCTGGCCAGGTCCGGGGTGCCGGGGACCCGCCTGACGTGGGAGTCTCTTCCTGGTGTTCCCCAAAGCAGCGAGGAGAAGGAGGTTCAGAGTCACCGACTGTCAACGCACATGTGGGAGGGAGGAGCCGCGTGGGGACGGTGGGAAGGATGCATAATGAGCAAACTACACTACAAAAAGAGAAAAGAAAACAGGACCGTTTTCTGGAATGGTCCAGAACAAGAATTATGCTCTCAGGGTAGAAAGAGAATGGTTTCCATGGTGTCCCCAAATGACAGTAAGAATAACCTATTTGACCTTGATTTTAAACCAGTGTCTGGCCCCCAGACTCAGCCCTCCAGGAGAAGCCAGGCTCCCGAGCACGGACTGGCCACAGACCTGCTGCTGTCCGCCCTCGGGGTGCAGACCGTCCTGGATCCTCCGTGGATCTCCTTTGTCATCTTTGCTAACATGTCATCACTGCTTCTTCCTCAGGAAAGGAATAGTGGGTCAATTGCAGTGAAATCAAATTGCCCTGATTTATAATACTTAATTGCCAGTGTGAGTGCGAGCAATTACACATCCGAAACTCGGCGCGTCCCAAGATGATATGCACCCCTGCGCTGTCCCTGGGCCCTGCCTCTGACCATCCCGGGTCTGGCCGGCATCCCCTGCGGACGCGACCCTCCAGCCCTGACGATCTCTGCATCCCAGTGTCTCACGAGTGCACTGCCAACCCACAGAGGGCATCTTCGCAGGACCGCGGCCCTGGGGTCTGCCGTGGTTCAAGTGCCTTATTAGCATTCATGACTCGGGGGCTCCCCAGAGGCCCCTCTCCTGTCCAGAATCACAGAAAGACCCGGGATCCCCCCCAGGCTTGGGCCCTGTTTGCAAAGGCAAGGACAGGGCCTAACTGTGAAGGGGCAGCCGAGCCGCCGGTCCTGCCAGAGGAAGGCACAAAACAATGGGAACCCGCAATCATCTGTCTGCGGGGACACATGGGAAATCCAGCACGGCGCTCACTTATAAGGGATGATGGTTGGTTTTCCTGCCCCAAAGGCCGAAACTGAGGTCCGGGGAGCCAGAAAAAAAATGCCTAGACCTTATTTATTTTAGGCAAAAGTGAGTCTGCCCTGAGTTTTCAGGGTGCCCGCCTCCTCCCTTCTCTCCTGCATTCGGGGGAGGCGGAGGCTTCCAGCCCAATTCGGCATCGGTCCTCGGTCACAAGGACAGCACCACAGCGGCTCGGACCTCGTGTGACGGAAGGCCACAAAGCCCAAAGGCGGGTCACAGAGGCAGGTCCCCGGTGCCCGAGCTCACGAGGAAAGGAGTCAGCCGAGATAATGTCGGGGTGCGTCTGGAACACTGAGGACGTTGGGTTGTGAGCAAATATTCCTAAGTGCTGGCATGAAAGGCAGCTGTGAGGTCACGACCACGGAACAAAGGCTGCTGCACACATAGGAGGCGCGCCGTGGAGGAGAACGTCCCCTCACGTGTGCAGAGAATAAACAATGTGCAAAGTCAACAGGCACCGGGCAGATCCTAGTGACAGCCGGAACCAGCCCTGGCACCGAGCGAGCCGAAGCGATACGGACCATTTCTTGAGAAAAAGAGCAAACAAACTTTTATCGGGTCAGACAAGCACAAAGTTGCCTCAAGGTCATCCAAAGCGTTACCTGTGGGGTTCGCGTACCCTCTGCCCTCTGCAGGCGGCCTGCTAATTACACAGTGCACATCTCTCCGAGCGTGTCGACAAACACCCTTAAACCCCTCTCTCGAACAGCCGGGTGGGGGGACAGGACAGGCCGAGTCTGCAAAAGGCTCTCCTTGGTCCCCTGAGGGGCGACCCCATGAGCCACGAAAGAGCCACGTGCCCACAGAAACACGGGGATTCAAACTCCTTTGCTACCCACCGCACCCTGCTCCCAGGCCCCTGGCTGCTCTGCTCTGAGGGTGACCCCGACCTTGAGCGGCACACGCCCGTCGGCCACCTCCAGACAGCAGGGGACACACTGGCTCCCCCCACAGGGGTTCTGGCCTTCCCGTCCCTTCATCCATCTGGTCAGCCCACCTCTCGCCTAAACCCTCAAAGCCCTGGGCTTTCAGCTGGCGCCCCATGTCCCCGGCGTCCACACCCCACATGCCACCATGGGCCACATCCCCTCGCCACACAGGGCCCTCTTCCCTCCTTGGACACTTCGCCCCTTCCTAGAGCTGACCTCCAGCAAGCACTTTTGGAAGTTGTGAAACACCCAGAAGGAATCTGGGTTTGCATCTGCATTTTCTGCCCAGGCAGGGTCTCTGCCAAAAATACCACCAAGCATTGGCTGTATGAGGCTGGAAGAACAGCCAGGGCAGCGGCGAGAACACTTCCATGGGGCTTGTGGTCCCCACGAAGACCACCTCTCGAGACCCCCAAACCCTTGATGGGTGCTCGGGGACAGTGGCACCCCTCAACTAGCGGCCTCCCCCCGACCGCAGAGAGGGGCTCCAGAACCGTCAGCCAGGCCCAGGTTGTTAAGGAAATCTAAGCCGCAGGATGCCTCTCCCTGGCAGGATGAGAAGTGGGGGCTCCTCTTAGAGAGCCGGCTGGCCAGGGCACGGTGGGCGGGGGGCTCTGGCATGCACGTGCAGGGGGCGTCTGGGGGCAGCAAGGTCACCAGGCATGTTTTACGAGATGCCCCACCCCCATTACAGGAGGTAGGCCCCCATCTGCAGGAGTGTTCCCCAGAGTAGAGACTCCTGTTCCGGGACATTCCATTAATCTGCACGGTTCTGCAGAGACTGCAGCCTTAGCACCTAAGACCCAGACGGGGAGCACGGGTGTTTTAAGACATGAGCTCATTAAAGACACATTTCCGGGAAGAGAGCAGGCCTAGCCTATGGGGGCTGACAGGCGCCCACGAGGACCGCTGATGTTTGCTGAGTCGCGTCATGCAAGCTGCAGGACCAAATAAGCCTGGGAAATGTGACATTCGAGCGCTCTCTCCGACTGAGCCTCCCGCCTCGGGCAGCGCTGCTCAGCCCGGCTTTATAAATAGATTGAACACAAGATAAATGGCCGTGATCAATCACGCTCACACGGGAATGCTCACCTCCCATCCAAAGTCTGCCTCCTTCCACGTGGCCCGGGGTGCCCCCATGTAAGGGCCAAACCTCGCCCCGATTTCCATCCTCTTCTTGGCCCAGATCCCCAGGCCTGCCCCTGGGATGGAGGACTCTCGGAGCTCAAAGTCTGGCGGGATGGGAATGTCCTCAGGAATGTAGACGGGGGCTTCGTACGGCGAGCCCTCCTTGGGGGTGAAGTCCTCGCTGGTGGGGAAGGGGGACGGCGGCCCCATGGGGATGGGGGACACGACGCTGTCCTCTGTCTCGTACTCCGCGCTCTCGCCAGCCAGCAGGTCCGGGTCGGGCTCATGCATGTTATTTACAGTGTCGCCGTCACCTGAAGGAGACAAGGCAGCGTCAACTTCTGTGGCTCGTCCTCCCCTGTGCATGACACGCGGGGACCACCTGGGACATGGGGCAGAACGGGGACCGAGGGCGCCGACCGCTACCCCCTGCCCGGGAGACATGCCCTTTGCTCCATATTCCGGGGACGTGGGGAAGCGGGGTTCAGAACCTCCACAGGGTTGTGTGGCTCCGCGAGGCCCCACGTGGCCCCCCAAGGACCTGTTGGCCCCTTCTGCTTTAGGAAAGCAAGGAGAGGAGATGCCCACGCTCCATGAGTTTGGGAACAGTGGGGAGAGCCGTCGGAGAGGGCACCCTACCCAGGGCCGGTAGTGGAATAGTCTCTCCAGAACCATTCCGGTTTGTCTGGCGTTGGAAATTAGGGGGGACATGTCTCAGATTCTTGGGAGGACTCAGAATTTGGATTAGTATGAAATCTGCTCCAACACCTGGGCAGCCCTGGGTGTCTTGGTGGGGGCCAGGGGGACAGGTTCCTGAGCTCCTGTTAACCTAAGGGCCAGTTAAGACAGAGGTTTGCTGAGGTCACAAATGTGGGGTTCGCTGGGATGCAGGTCACTGGGTCTGAGTCTGGTGCGGGCCTCTCTTTGGGGTCCATCCTAGGAGACGGTTGGTGCCAAGATACGGCTACCTGGACGTGCGCCAGGCCTGAGGCACAGGGGAGGCCGAGAGATGTGGGCCGAGGGAGGAATGGGGGGGCAAGGAGTAGCTGGTCAGCCAGGAAAGCAGCTCTGGCCAGAGGAACGGGAAGCGGGCACCCAGACAGCTGGGAGTCCCCAAGGGCACGACGACCCCTTGTCCGTCCACACAGCGGACTGTTACTCAGCGTGGACACCCCCTCACCTCGCTGTGGCGCGGAAGCACCTGGACGCTTGGAGAAGGGCGCCGGCATGGAGGCCCACGCGGCACGCTCGGGACACGGGAAGTGTCCAGAAAAGCAAGACCAAGAGACGGAACTCATGCCGTGGCTGCTGGGGCCTGGGAGGCAGGGGCCCCGGGAGTGACTGAGTATCGGGCATGGGTCTCCTCTAGGGAAGGAAATGTTCCGGACGGAGAGGGAGGTGTTGGTTGCACACCTGCGTGAAGGTGCCAGATGAGCTGCCCCGTTCGAAAGCTGAACTTGTACGTTACACAACCGTGGATCGTGCGGCGCGGAAACGGGGAGGTCAGCGAAGGGCGCCCACCGACCTCCGACCTGGACCTTTCTGCCCAAGTCCCTTATGCACTGGCCTGAAACCGGGGACAGGGACCCTGCCCCCGGGCCCCTCCCTGCCCCCCTCTGCCCCGGCGTGGGGCCTGGGGACGCTCGAGCACAGGAGAAATGACTTCAGAGTCCTCACGCCAGTGCAAACAGATCTGCTCAGAAGTAACAAAATGTTTTCTTTCAAAAGAAACCAAAGTCTTGAAAAAAAAAAATCATGGGGATAACACTTATTTAATTTAGCAGCATTCAGAGAAGTAATTATTATGTTTTACGTGGCCAACGGTTCCCTTCTAATTGACTCGTAGGCTCCTTTCAAAAATGCGACAACAGAAGGGCAGCTATGGTTCTCTTGGCCAGAAAGATCCAAGTCGTTAGGTTTGAAAGAACACCCCCATAAACCTTCCCGGCGACCGTGCACAGCATAAAGGTAAATTGGAAGGGGGGGTAATTAACATGCCGCCTCATTATCTGGAACTGGTAAATGCACGAGGCTCACACACAGAATCAGGTTGGGAGCCCCCTCCCCATGCGCTTCGGGGTGCGATGCCTTTGCCTTCCAGGACAATTAGGATCTGCTAGGGCAGAAAGCGGGGAGGGGTCCCCATCCTGTGCATATTCATCTCAGGGCTCTTTGGGGGCTTTTTTTTTTTCCTGTTTGAATTCTACTTCCCAAAACTCCTCACCTACTGGAGGAAAACCAAGGCTTTAAGGGCATGTTTAATTTACTGGCCAAGCAAACAGTTTAGGAGAGAAAGGTGGTGTTTCCTGCTGATTAAAGGCAGGCAGTGCGCGGCTGGCCTCCCACCCCCGGCGGGCACAGGGGTTAAGTGATTGCCTAAAGCCACCGGGAGAAGCCGGGTCTCCATTCCGCGGCCCCCACTGTTGCGGGGGGGGAGCTCTTCTTTCACCGGTGGGGTGAGGAGACCTCATCAGTGTGTGGGAGACATTTGGAGAAAATGAGGTGCCGCAAACAGCCCGAGGCCCTGGAGAAAGCCGCAAGCTGCTTGGGGCCGCCGGAGCCTTCCAGGCAGACCCGCACAACTTGCCCAGCTCCCCAGGGTCCCCGAGCAACCAGAGAGGCGGGATCAGAAGAGCATCCTTCCTCAGCCCTGTGCTCCAGCCAGGAGCCCCTCTTGCCCTGGGCGAGGCGGGCATGTGCAGGGAGTGGGCATCATTTTCCCCAGGCCCCCAGGACCGCCGGCACATTCCAGCCGGCACTCTCTCGAAAGTCAGGATGCAGAGCCAAGAACAGGAGCTTTTTATGACTTTGGAAATATAGGCTGTGCAATCGTGTGTTGTTTACTTGTAGGGAGAGCTGAGGTCCTTTATTTGGGTTTTGTGGTAATTTCAGGCTAAGGGTTCATGACTGAGTCCATCGTTCCTAAAGATTCTTTTGGGAGACTTACTAAAAAATCATAAGAGCAGGGAGGAGAGGAGAGGGAGCCTGGAGCTGGTGAGCCAGCGGAGCCGTCCTGAGCCGTGGCCACGGGGCACCTGCTGCAGGTCAGCGGCCCCGCCGGGTCCCTGAGCTCTTGGGAACTTCGTGCTGAAACCCCGTTTGGAGGCCTGTCACATGCTGCTCGATGTATGAACAACGGACACTCGGTCTCAGAAAACAGGTCAGAGAAGTGAAGAAACCTAGCTGCTCCCTGGGTCTGGACCACACCAGCTGGGAGCCACCACATCCTCGGTCCCAACCTGCTCTGGATCCCACCCAAACCCTGAGTTGAGGGCTCGGTCTCTTCCAGCCCCACAGTGGGAGCCTTGTGTGCCCCCTGCCCTATTGGTAGCAAATTACATCTGATCGGAAGCCCCCCCCCCCATCTAAACATCAAACCAGCAGCCAGGATGTCGGGGTCTGGAGAGAGATGAGAGAGACAGCCCCCAGTCAGGACCGTGCCCAGCCCGCCAGTCCCTCCTAGGCTGTCCCCTGCCCTGGCGGCAGAAGCAGCACCTGGAGGACGGTGATCAGCAGGGTGAAGACCACCGGCCCCCGAACCTGCAGCTCCGCCGGGTCTTACACGGAGGAGTGGGCGGACTGGAGCCCTGCCCTGGGCTGGGGGCGGGAGGGAATTCCTCTGGGTCCATGCGTGGTTTGCTCCAGTCCTGCCTCCCGTGTGCCGCGAGGAGCCGGAAACCTGCCGGCGCCTCTGGCAGGGTCGCTGCGCCGTGTGGGGCTCGGCGGGGCCGAGGCCTGGGGGGTGAGTGTGCGTGTGTGGGCTGTGCCAGGGAGGCACCTCTGGGTGGGAGGGCTCGGCTGCCCTCTGCATGGACACCCCTGAGAAGCGAAAGCCTCCGTGTGTGGCTCCAGAGCCCAGGAACGGAGGCCGCCTTCCTCTTCCTCCCACAAGGCAGAAGGACGGTGCTCCGGCCCCGGGCTGCCCCCGCCGTGGTCCCGAAAGAACCTCACAGGGGCATCCCGATGCCGGCCTGCGATGTCACTGTGACCTTGGGAATGGTGATACTGCCCACCCGCCCGGCGAGGGAGGACAGAAAGCCCTGCCTGCGCGCCCTGTCCAGGGCCCTGGACCGCTCTCCTTGGGCTCACTGCCCTCCAGAACACCCCTTCTTTGCCCCAGGCCTTTCTGCCTCTGGACGCCTGACGTGGCCTGCCTCAGCCCTCGGGGCCGCTCACACCACTACTGGACACCGGGCCCCGGGGCCCCAAGCCCCCGTCCCTTGTGCCCAGAGAGCCACCGGCCCAGCTCTGTGGCCCACCCGCCGGGCACGCCGGCTCCTGGGACACAGGGAGGCACACCGAGTGGGCACCGGGTGCCGGCTGCTTCCGGCCACTTCCATGAGTTCGCTCCTGGAAACTGCGGGGTCGAGGAGAAGGAAGATGAGCGAGAACTCCTGAAGAGAGGACTGCATATTGAGGGTGACCCCAGGGCCCGTTATAGATGGGTGCTCATGGGTGGAGTGGGGAGGCGGGAGGTTATCGGAGGACCAGGCGAGGGAGGCACCTTTAGGGGCCGGGGCGCCCGCGGCCCTGCATCGAGGCTGTGGGGCTGCCTGCACCTGAGGGGTGCACTGTGTCGGGACCCTTCTCTGTGTTTGTTCTTACAACTGTGTGTGAATCTACGGTGATTTCAGTTACAATCTCTATTAAAAGAGCCCCTACTTTGAAAAATGCCCATTCTTTATTGCACCCATGTGCTCAGTGACAGTTCCTTCGGCTCTGGCGGTTTCCACGAGAACACGTTTAATTACTCTCTTCTGTCTGCCCCCCTGAGGGGGGGGGCTTTCAAACCACAAAACCAGCCTCTGAGGCTGACAACTGGTGTCCCCAGTGAACTCGAGAAACACCAGGGACCTCTTGCTCACAAGGGCACAAACGGGCCTGGTGGCAGCATGTCAACCAAACCACAGGGAGGGTCCCCGAGACGAGCTAGGCTGAGAGTAGGGAGGCGGGTGTGGACCGCCCAGCAGCCTGGCCCCTGGTTCCCCCCTTGCCCTTAACTCTCTGGGCTTCGGAAGAAAGCAGAAAAGGTGGTGCCGATTGCCCAGGACTGGGGAGCCCCATTATCTTCACACTTGTAGTGGACAGTGTTGCCAGGTGGGGCTGGGACAGGGGACGCCCGCGAGGTGCCCAGCGCCCGGCCCTGCGAGTGAGCCCCTGAAATCTGCCCCTTCTCCCCTTCAGGCCCAACACCCTCCTGCCCTAATGCCCCCCTGATAAACTCTCAGGGGCAGATCCACCGGGAGACCGTGCCCAACGGCATGTCCGTCCGCCTGTTCCCCAGGGTTGAGATGGACTCGATACCATGTGTGTC